CTGACTCCACCACCGTGTTGGGCTGTACCCCTCCAGACCCATACCAGGCACCAGTAGAGGAGGCTTTGCCTCTTGCATGCCAGCCACACCTTTTACACCCTGCAGCACGTAGGGAGCAGATGTTTGGAACTGTACATGAACACACAGACAGTGACAAGGGTACACCCTTGGTTAGCAGCATGGCTTTGTCACGAGAAGATTCTGAAACTGTATTCTCTGCTGCGAGAATATTCAACGAAGCTGGTGTGGGACAGGAAGGGATTCCAATGGAAGTTAACGGTAAGAGAGGTTTAGCATGGCAGTGCAGAGTTCTAAAATGTGTGTACAGCCCTGATAGAAATAGACTCGGTTTTATATGGAACATTTTGTAACTTGTAAATTGAATTTCAAAGAATCATTACTTTTCTTCCAGTTTACCTACTATGTATCAAACCAAGCAGAAAATCAATCGTGTTTGATGAAACATGTTTGACTGGACAATAGGACTGGTGCTTGCCTGTTAATTACTTCAAACCCTATACAAAAAAAATAACTGCTTTTTACTAAATAGAAACAATTTCTTCCGATGTAACTGAAAAGTTAGTTCACTTCCTATGAAATTAGTTTACTTAGCGCGTGCATGTATTTATAAGCTTAACTTCGTTGTACATGTTTGGCAGGAATGCAAAAGTCGAAAATTCAACCTGTGTTGTCCGCAAGGTTTGTATTAGGGAAGTACAGTTGTATTGTTTGAGTTGGATTAGGCTAGTTTTTTAAAATCTAAAACCTTTGAAGAAATGAAAGAAACCATCATTTCCTAACTATGAAAGTCGGGCTTGCTCCCAAACGTTTTTGTGCTCTCCACAGAAAGCAAGCCCTCAGCAGAACCGTCAACCTCATTTGTAGCGCGTCCTGATAATGCTTTGGAATCCACCACACCTGTCGCTCCCAAGCCTTTCATTTCCAATGGAACCTCTGCCAACTCCCTCTTGGGCCGTTGGCGTTTGTGTGTTGAGTTATTTGGTCGAGTGTTTCTTGAAGATGTTGGATCTGAACCGTCGTCAGTGTTGAATGAGTTGGGAAGGTTTGATGTGAAAGAGTCCAAATTTAGAAGAGAAATGGAGCGATTGAGGAACTCCACCCAAAGAGATTTGACTCTTGAGGTAAGATGATTCCTGATTTTGTGGGTGTGAAAATCGTATTTGTCTCTTCACTAATTTGCCTCCCCTACCGGCATTGCGTCACATATCATGCTCTTCAGCCCTTTTTCGTCTTTGATGATTNTGAAGAAAAATACGAATTGACTACATCTGGTAATGCGTTCAGAAAGCCGGCCGTGGTTGCAAAATGATAATGACTGGTATTTTCTTTTGTATAATTGAAGGGGCTCACGTGTTTCTACTTGTTATTTTGTAGACTGGTTGGCATGACCTGGCATTCTTTGACCCTATGCTGTACGAAAGCTTACGCAAGCTGATTGTTGAAGCTGCTTCTCCCAATGCTGAACACATATTCAAGGGACTCGACCTGACATTCAGTGTCCAGGTCACCGCGGACGAAGGTGATGGCAACCAAGTAGAGTTGATTAAAGGTGGAAAGAATGTGGCAGTCACATCGTCTAATGTGCATGAATATGTTCGCCTGTACGCAGAGCACAGGATGGCTGGTAATAACAAGAGAGCTCTTCAGGTAAGTTCTCTTTATCACCTGCTCGTAATCAGCCATGTTCATCTCTCGCAGGATTGGGTTGGGACACCAACATGGCCGCCGTTTCATTGTTTAAGGACACCAATATGGCAGCCGCAGCGCAATGTGGAAACGCTCTGTGTACGAAAATTCTATCAGAAGAGCATCACTGACATAAAAAAAAACAACTTTTAGATAAGAGTTTTATAAGTTTCAACGACAAGCAAAACGATCGTTTTGTTGCTATGGCAACATTAAAGGTAGTCAAATGTTCACTCCTAAAACTACCCGTTAAAGGTTGGTTGTGAAGTGGGAAAAAGGTGTTTTCACAAATTTTCACAGTTGAAACAATCAGCGTCCTAAAATTCTAATGTGGGATATAGAACTGTAACGGAGATCCGTAAAATTGTACTAAGTGTGATATCTTTAACTCTAGTAATGACGCAGGTCACTTTCTCTTTGAAGGCTCTTCGTAGCGGAGTACTGGATGTTATACCTCAGTCCTCNTGTCAATGTGGACAAACACGGTCTTTCATGTTTGATATATTACATGAAACATTCTAGAGGTATGATTTTCGTTTTGACGCGAGGATTTAAATGAGCTTATTACAGATATTTTCTTATTTAGATAGTTTACTAATCAACTGCCATATTTTAAACTGATGTTACTTTCTTCTAAGGTCTATTTCTGGACATCGAGCCCTGCCCTACCTGCCAGCGAGGAAGGTTTCCAACCAAAACCATCAGTTACAGTGAAACCCGCTCATGATCATCAACTGCCTACAGCGAACACATGCATTTCTCGTCTCTACATCCCTCTCTATTCTTCTCGAGCTATACTTAAGAGCAAACTTCTTCTGGCAATCAAGACTAAGACCTTTGGATTTGTGTAGATGAGAATATCACCAGTTGAAAATTTCACTGTTCTTTTCTGTCCAGAAGTCGTCGATAGGAGAGGCGGAACGAACAGTTGGACCAATTCAAAGTAGATACGAATCAAAGAAACAAAAACTGACTGCTGTTTGTTTAACAGAGGTTAAGGATTGCAGATTCCTCACTATGAAGTCCAAGTCTTGTGTTGTAATATTAATTCTTACCAATGACTTAAGATCTGCTGTCACTACAAGGATCGTTGAAAAATTTCGCGCTATTTGACAATTACGTACTTAGAGTTAAAATAAATATTTCATGGAACTGATACTGCTACAATTCATGTAAAGCCCAAAATACTTCCGAGATAATCAGCAGTTCGAACAATTCAGGAGAAAAACCTCTGGGCTTATAGTTGTTTAAAAATATTTTAGTGAGTTTATTTGTTTTTATTATTTTCAAAACAAAAAAAAGGGTAAGTACACCGTACGNGTCCGCGGACCGGGGGTCAGTGTTTTCGGGTTACCCCTTTTTTATGGAGATGCAAATTAAAGTAGCAAAGATTACTTTTTTATGAAAATTCAAACCAGAGACCACAGATCAAGTTGTAGTATTTAGCTATCTTTTTAAGCAAAATGCAGGGTACATTTACGGTTAATTACTATACGATCAGAACGTTTGATACTTACTTTGAATAATTTTTCAAGGACGATCTCAACCATGTGATACTGCTTAGAATAGTCGCCAAGTTTGAGGATACTTTCCGCTGCAAAAGTTTGTTCAGAACGCTTTTGCTTAAAAATGGCACGATCTGTAATAATGGCAGTCAAGAAAACTTGCAAATGGAGTTTAATTATTTAAGCTGAAGTAAAATTGCCCTAAAACGCTTAAATTTAATACGAGTGCACCTGTTGAAAGCAAGTGTTCACCAAAAAGGATACAGACTAACATTTTGGTGTCGGCTTTGTTCGAAGACTTCTCTTTCGTTGATTCCTCTGTGGTATTGCCAGCAGATGCTTCGCATACTATGACAGAAACTGAAACATAAACAACAAGAAATATAAAATCGAACAATGGAGGTTTCATTTTGATTCCCCGCAAACCACGCAAAAGATGGCGGCGTTCCACATGGCCGAGCCTCAGCCCCATGAAACGAGAAATCTCCCCACCCTGACCCCGTCGAGTCTGGGAATCACCGTCACCACCAGCAGGGATCGAGCGAGAGGACGACCGAAAACAAGAAAACTGCGGCGTGGTAGTCTCTCTTTTATACCTGCAGTGATGGGTTAATCCCTTTGAATGTAATAATCACTTTCTAGAAGTGCAGTGGAAGGGAAAAGCGTCCTGTGGCCCTTGGGGCTGGGGCCGAGAGACCATGTTGGAGAATCGTGAAGAGACGGGGAGACGTGTTGGTGCTGCCACTGGCTGAAAAATAGTTTCTCTAGTGTCATTGTCTCGGTGAGAGTAGTTGTTCCGTAAGCTTAAATAAAAAATTGGACTTAAGGATAATTTTTTGCTATACAATCATGTTCTTTTCCATCTGTTTTATAAATGAGTACTAACCCGCACCAGCGGTACCACACCCCTATGAAATTGGGCTGCAGTATAAAGAAAGAGCCCTGAGGAATCAGGTGGATTCATTACTGTCGCTGAAAGAAAACATAAAAGGTCTTTAGAATCCAGAGTCCTCCAACGGCCGTTACCAACCAACCAAATCCTAAACTTGACTTGACCAATCACCAAGCGTTGAGCGAGTACTTTTACTGGGAAAATTGAATACTTTTATTCCACCTGGTGCTCTCCTTTGTATGTGAGTTTTGAGTTTAAGTTCAGTTTCGCCAACAAGGAGGTACAAATATAAAATTGTTAGGAGGGATTGCAAAGCGAGCTAAATTTTTCATGTTCTGAGAATTAGCATGCATATGACAGATTGTTTGGCCGCCTAACTTCAAAACCAATATGCTTGTGACATGCTTGAAAAGATTTGTAAACCACTGAACTGTAAAATACATTACAAGTGCTTGTTGGTCTCGTGAAAAAAAAAAAAAGCTCCTGTGTCAGCAAAAAACTTGAGCGCGATCTCGAGGCTGACGGAAGCCTCGTGTACCACGCATGTGCCTGCTCACTCTTGCTCTTGTGTCTGATGGAAACGGAGGCAGAGGAGCGAGAAGGCAACCATGAGAACAAGGAGCTCAGGCGGCGCTCTAAAACAACTCCCCCAGCTTCGAACCAATTTGCAATGTCTAATTCCTTAGACAGTGGGGTTGGAAGCTTTGAAGAAGCGGACGTCGCCGACAACTCGTACACAACAATCGATGAACAAACACTCGTCACTGGACAACATTATGATCGTGAAGCACCCGACAGTTTCCGTTTCATCTACCTCGGCAATGCAGTCCTGGACAAGCGTTACACACAACACATGCTTCCTTGGTTTATTGCTGAAATACGGAGAAAAAGGGAGCGAAATCCCATTGATTTGAGGGTCGAGGAGATGACGGTAAAGGCAGTCGACTGCTCTGAGAGCATTACTTTGTTTCAACACAAGGTGCAGACCATTACACGCTGCGCGCGCTCTGTGGACAAAAAATGTTTTGCCTACTTGACAAAAATCCCCGAGGAACCGTCTTCCTCCTATTGCTACGTCTTTGAAGCCGTCGAAATAAGCTCGGTAAGAAATCTTTTAGAATCCTATTGAATGTAGCTATGCAGGGTTTCTCGTTCACAATGTTGCTTGTTTTCTCTCAACTCCAACTTCAATCACCTATTCAAGCAGAGCTCCGATGACGTTCAATGACTTTGCGACTGGCAATTAAGCTTATGTTTTTTTTAAGCACCTTCTTTTGTATTTTTATCAGGTTTCGCTTTCTTCTTCATACGATGTCGACTGCTGCCATTTCCTTCGTGAAAACTATGGCTCTATAAGTAAATCTTCTCTAGCTCAGTTGAGCTGATTGCACAGACTGTTTTAGCTTTCTGCTAAAAAGTAACATGATACACCTTTAATGGGAAGTCTTGTTATTCTTTTGTTCTTGTACATATCTCCGCTAGAAACTCGACTTTGCGATATCTTTTCAATTTCAACAGGAATAAGAAAATCTCTATATTGATCGTACTCGCTGGAAAACTTAAATTACAAGGGGATCGTATTTTCAAATTTCTCTTCCAATAAAACTTTCAGCCTATAACTTTACTTGCCAAAGAATTTTCTTAGCTTATCTAACGACAAAATTTATGTTATTATTATTGTTTTTGTCATTTCCCTTGCTTGAACATGCCTCGTTGCTTATTGTTCAAACCATTGTTTTCGTCGAGTATCACAAGAGAATTTTGTTGAGTTTTTACAGCGTGTACATCGGATTTGGTATCTTGATTTTTTTTTTTCTCGGTTTTGGACGTGATTTTGCCACAGCTTTCATTGTTTGCATGTGAGTGAATATTTGGAAAGTAGCACGTTTCGCAAAATTTTATCACGTACAATTTACATTGGTTTGAAGTTCAAGGTAATATAGGCACATCTACATGTATACTTGTAATTGTTATGCAAATTATCCCAGTGTCACACAATATCCTCTTGTCCTTAAAACAAACACAGTCACAGCCCTGGGAATTCATTTGTTTCTTTGGTTTAGTTCAACAATGGGTTTCACTTTTTAGTTGGAGCAAGTATTGCCCTTAGATTACATAATTCCCATGAAATAACATGTTTGTGTTGCTTTTAGTTGGGGTAGCTGCTTCATCCTTGAAACACATGTTATGTTAATATGTTGAAATACTGCATTGTAAGAAATTAAAATGTAAATAAATGGACGAGTACTTTTCCCTCTTTATAAGAGCGTAAAGATTTTTTTGAGCAATTTGCTTGTAGTATTTGTGTTATGGATGGTTAATTTTAAGTGATAATAAATTTTTTATCCCTTGAATAACATGATCGTTATACATAAGTTGCAATTCTTTCCTCACAAATATATGCAGATTTGATAGGTGTTTTGAACAATGGATTTTACCAGCTATTGTAACTGGTAGTACTGTTTTTGGAATGAAATTGCTAAATTGATGTGATCAAAATGCACTTGCTTGTAATGTTACTGTGGAAGCAACAGTGAACGTGGTTGAAAGGGTTGGAAAGTCTTTTCAAAATCAGAGAAGTATTGGGGTGTTAAGTTTATTCAGGGAAATTCTTTATCTTGTCAAAGTCAGAAATGCGTTGTGTTGTTGAAAAACAATCATCTTATTGTTGTCAATGAAAATTATTTCTTGCAAAACAAATAGAAAATTATTTTAAAGAAAACTTCTAGTGTAAATTGGTTACTTTTCATTTGATCAATTTTATTATAGTCAACAAAAATATGTTATTTTTTAGCTTTGTAAAGAGGTAAGGAATTTTTGTTTTCTAATGGTCTTAAAGTCCCACAAAGCAAGGTTTGTTGGTCCAACTACTAATTTTCAAAATGAACCAGTGTCTGAATGAACTTGTATGTAACACAAAAGAAAACTATGTGAAGGTGAATTAATCAACGTGACACGAGCGTGGGACGAAGAAAAATTCTGAGTTCCCGACAGGAATCGAACCCATGACCTCCCAAACACCGTGCAGGTGCACGCTCGTGTCATGTTGATTAATTCACCTCCACATTTCATTACCGAGCTTAAAATTCACCATCTTTATTAATTTATCACTACTCATGATGACTTCAATAGCGTTGATCCTAGCAGTATGCAGGACACCTGTCATATATGAACTNGATGTGCACAAGGCAAAGATTGTTAGCTTCATGTGGTTGCTTGCTGTTTATTCATTTTTTTCCATAGTCTTCAAGTGTTGTTTTATCATGTACTCCTAATATTTTGTGAGTTGAAATGATAATCCCTTGTCAACCTCCACTGCATGGTTATCTGTGTCATGGGGAAAGAACTTGTTCCTGTCCTCCACTTCGTCGTGACATTCTGAAGTTAAAAAGGCAGGGTGATATCTCAACATGATATATGGGTTGTTGACCAAGCAGTAGGTTAAGATGATCAATATGGCTGGATATCAGCCATGATTCTTATTGTGTCTTTATCAACTGAGACAAAGTTGAGGTCTCTAAACACGCTTAAAACTTAAACAAAGCTGTGGCCAATATCTGTTCAAATGGATTGAACAACGAGGCAGGACAAAAACGCTGTCTGATAGCCCGGGACTAGAGAAACGATAGGTCGGGCTAGCACCTTCTTATCACAGGTTGCCC